CTACCGTAAAATTAATGTCCAATACATGTAATGTCCAATACAGTTTTTCACCATATATAGTAGGGGAATTTACCGTTAACCATTTAACAGGTTTTTACTGTAGCATTTTTACAATCTTTTACCGTTAAATTCACGGTCATTTTTTACAGTGCTGGTTTGTTTTTAATTGCCCCAAATGGGACTAAAACAAGATAAATGGTAGAAGGCACCTAAATATTTTTTCACATCAAACCATACGGCAATCATATTTATAACTATAGGATTGGAAACATTTTTTTAAGATCTTTCAATTCTGATGAATATAAACACAAATTTAAAGGCAGGCCAGAATTAATGGAGCTGATTCCATATCCACCCAAGACGGGCAGTCCTGAGATAAAAAATAAAACATAATTGTTCTAAGTTGCACAGCCCAATAATACCAATGAAAATTAGGACACTGTAGATCTCATCTATCATATGGCAAATATAGAAGTGTCAGACAGAGTCTGGAACATCTGTTATTCCAAATGAATTTAGTGGACATTTTTTTAAGTCGTTAAAATAGATGTTTATGGGGAGGCAGAGGAATGTTCTGGAATAAATATAAAAATTTTGACAAAATATTCATTTTCAAAATATTTATTCGACCAATTAAAGATATACAGTGGGTACGGAAAGTATTCAGACCCCCTTAAATTTTTCACTCTTTGTTATATTGCAGCCATTTGCTAAAATCATTTAAGTTAATTTTTTTTCCTCATTAATGTACACACAGCACCCCATATTGACAAGGACATCCATCTTTCTATAGAGCTACTAACACTTTCAAGAAGTGGATCATAATTTACTTGCACAACATCTCCTAGTTTTGGTACAATTTTTATACCCAAGTATGTAAAAAGGTTGCAACACAATTACTAGGTTGCTGTCTGTCAATCTCATTTAGATATAGAATAGAACTTTTAGAATTGTTAATCTTGTATCCAGAATTTTTGCCAAATGTACTGATAAGATTTAATAAAGCAGGTATTGATGTATCAAGATGCTTTAGGAAAAGAATGACATCAGCGAATAATGCAATTTTAGGTTCTATCTGTCCAATCTTAATGCCTGTTAATTCCACATGTTTTTTTTACTGCTATTGCAAAAGGCTCTATGGAGATGGCAAAAAGAAGAGGAGAACCTTGTCTACACCCTCTTGATACGCTAAATGGTTTTGAAACAATATTATTTGTAACACTTCTGCTGTAGAACTATTATAAAGTAATCTAACCCACCTACAGTACCTTTCACCAAAACCAAATCTGACCAATATATCAAACAAATAAGATAATTCAACCCGATCAAAGGCCTTTTCGGCGTCCAATGATAGTAGAGCAGTATCTCGTTCACCCCTCTGTTCATAAAGAATATTTAGGACTCTTCGAACATTGTGAAATGTTTGCCTACGTTGTATAAAACCATTTTGATCCTCTCCTATTAAATTTGATAGTGTACCTTCTAACCTCTTAGCCATAACTTTACTTAATATTTTTGTGTCTGAATTTAACAAGCTAATTGGCTGCATATTTTCACACTTTGGTTTTGGTAATAATGTAATTAAAGCTTCTCTCATTGATGCAGGCAAAAGATCTTGATATTCAGCTCTTTTTCACACATTTTTTGCTTGTCTTCAGAGAGAAATGGCAGGAAATTTATAGCAGTGTTTAATCTAGGATCCAGCGATAAGATATAGCAGAACTTCCTGGATGTGTTTTTGGAAAGAATACAGAATGCTGCTTATCTATTGGTTATGGCAGCTGTTTGTGTGACATTGCTTTATCTTCGAGACGTGTTAACTGGCATGCAAGCTCTGTGCGTGTTTTAATGTTAGCGGGAGGCTCAAGGGATAGACCGTGTTGTAAAATTGGGAAGTAAAGCCTCAGCAGCCTCCTGCCACAGCTGTAAAAACATGCATGTCGGAGTTGTTTCTCTGGCTTTGGTTAAAGGACGAGTCCTTGCCTGAGGGGAGGGCCCGAATGAACACCTAGATCTGGGTCACCCTGCCTACATAGCCTACCTGATTGTTTGGCTTTCTGCAAGTTTGACTGGCCCACCTAGGAGTGGAGGATGATGGCATTGCTTGATTTCAGGTTCTGTAGATTATTTTCTGGTTTTGTAGAGATTTTAGCCAGCCTTTTTGGGTTTTTTCGTAGAATAATTTTAAATTGTATTCATTGTCAATGATAAATAAGAGGGTCCTTGATAAGGAAAGGAGAATCTTTTTAAAATCTAATTTAAAACATGTGCTGAGTTCTTAAAAATGTTTGTATGCATGTTTCTGGAAATAAAAAATTTCTGTATCATTTTCAGCTGAAGTATATGTGCACTGTATTTCATGCGGTGTAACAGAGTAAAATTTTTCCTTACACCTTACATGTAATAGTACATATCTTAAATGTTAATTTCAAGCCAAGTCATTGTATTTTTGAACAAGTTAACAGATCAGGACAAAAAAAATTACCTTCAATCAGTACTTGGAAATTTTGGACAACTGATATAGTTATTCACATGATAATTGAAATTGGTACAGTACACAGCCATTCAAATGTTTATGGTCAGTCAGATTTTTTTAGGAAATTAATTGGTGCTGTCAAATGATTAATCGCATCCAAAATAAACGTTTTTGTTTACATAATATATGTGTGTGTATTGTGTATATTTATTATGTATATATAAATGCACACACAGAGCATATTTTGAAAATATTTACATGTATATATTTATATTCATATAATTTATGTCATGTATAAATATATTTAATATATAAACGTAACATATTTTTCTTAAATATATACATGCATGTGTATTTATATATACATAATAAATATACACAGTGCACACATATATTATGTAAACAAAAACTTTTATTTTTGATGCGATTTAATCGCTTCACAGCACTAAAATTAATACTAATATTCGGCAAGGATTCATCAAATTGACTAAAGGACATTTTTAATGTTCTAAAAGAGTTCTAATTCAAATGAAAGCTGATCTTTAGAACTTTCTAATTATTAAAGAATTTTGAGAAAATATGTATCATGGATTTCACAAAAAGTACATCACAACTGTTTTCATCATTTATAATAATAAGAAATGTTTCTTTGACACCAAATTAGCATATGAAAATGATTTCTGAACGATCATGTAAAACTTAAGACTGGAGTAATGGCTGAAAAGCTTTGCCATTACAGGAATAAGTCACATTTCAAATATATTAAAAAACTGAACCCATATTTTTGATGATAGTTTATAATAAGGCAGAAGTTTTGAACTATTTTGCACTAAAATTGATTGGTTTATGTGCTACAGTGTTACAAGCTCTTAGTAAAGATGATTGTTCTACTGTTGTCCAGTTTAGCATTCCAGCTGTGCTGTGTTTGTGTGTATTTACAAAATTGTGGCTGCAAAAGGTCTTAGTTTTATGACCACATGCCACCTCTCTGGTGGTTTATGCTGTCTCTTTGTTAATGTGGTTGTGATTATTAAGGTGCGCTTTCATCTTTATGTCTTCCTTTTTCTCTTGCAGGTCTTTTATTAGGCGGCAGCAGCAGTAAATCAGCCACTAGTGGGTCTGTGGTTCAGCCCACATCTGATTTCCTCAGCTTCTCTGATCCCAGCCTTAGGGCTGGCGACTCGTACACGCCTCCGTCCTTTAGCCGTTGCCACATGAAGGGTGGTGCAGAAAGCACAGCCTCTGAAGGCATGGTGGCTCTCAACACCTTCGGCATGATGTCCCTCCCTCAAAGCTCAAGCTCAAGCAAGCATTACGAAAACTGTCACCCGGCCGGAGAGCTGGGAGGCCTGGCCTCAGCAGGCTACAAACGACCCCAGCCCTCCTCGTCCTCTTCCTCTGCAACATCATCTTCATCTACTGGCGAGGATGGCGTGAAGAAGAAGAAGAGAGGGAACTGGAGGAACCGGTATGGACCGTGCTTCACTACCCAGGACAGTAAAACCACTGATACAGGAGAGCATGGCTCCACAATGCCCTCATCCACTTCCCCCTCGCCATCCTCCTTGAGCACTATGACCTGCCGCGGGAGTGCAGTCAGCAGTACCGGAGGTGTGGGAGCAGTGGGTGCTGGTAGCAGCAGTCTGGGGATTCAGAAGTCCCCATCCCTCCTCAGGAATGGAAGCTTACAGGGTATGACTGTCGGCTCCCCACCTGCTGGACCAGGTGAGCAGACCTTAGTCAGGGTAAATGCCATCCATGTTTCATTTGTTTTGCTATGGTCTTAAAGTCAACATAATTTTTTTTTGTGTGTGAATTTTGTGATGCACATATAATAAAATTCTCGCTAATAACAATGTATATTTTCCTGTTATAGACAATAACAATAACGGGGCATAGGAATTACTTAGTGCTGCACGATTAATCATTTTAATTGTGATCACAATTTTATGCTTCTCGCGATTAAGCATAGTCGTCTACAATATTGGCTTGCTGGTTATTTATCCTGAAACTTTTTATTTTTATTTGACATTTTTATCTTGCATTGATGATAAGTCTCAACTAGTTTTAATGCTTGCGGTTGCCAGATGTAAAGAGTTGAAATCCCTAGTCAGAATTTTCTTCCTAGTGTTTTTTCTAGAGCTTTCGTGAAAGTGCAATAATACTGATGAAATCAAAAAAAAAAAAAAAACATTTCTCAAATGAAAACAACTGTGATTAATATTCGTGATTTTGTTTTTGAGCGAAATGATTTATCACGATCAACGAAAAGTAGTTTTCAATGCTAAATATGAATTTAGGCATGTACATATATGGACTGAAAAGAAAAAAACTATTTAATAATAAAACTAACCAGTTTGGTACTGCTGTGTTGTGCATCCCTAGTATGCATTATTCCAAAGAAAACATGTTTTCATCCTTGCTTTCAAGTGACTTTCAGCTTTCTTGTTTTTTTTAACCATCTGCCATATTGAGACCACTTTAGCTGATCCAGTCAAGTTCATTTCATTCTGAAATGCATCATAGTACAGATGTAGAAAGGGTTGTAAACATTATTTCTTGTTGACTTTGAGGTCCATTGTTGCCCATGTTTTTGCTGTTGTTTTTTTTCTATCTTCCACATCCTCATTTTCATTCCTTTCAAATTACATATGACGTCTACCATGACTGAATTTTTTTCTTTTTAATATGTTACATACTAATAAATCTAAAAGTTCTCTCCTAATATTTCCCAGCTTTTTCTTTTTTCATGGACTCTTATTAATTGTGCACGGAAGCCTACAAGCATAGGCTATTATAAATTGGCTGCCATAATTATTTTTCAGAAATTACACATGGAGGGTCTTTTCAATATCGCATTGTTCAATTCATGTAATTCATCTTAATCTTTCCCTGAATCGCAATTTGTTCCATCTCTGTTTATTTAAAAAGAATAAAAGGAATCCATTTGAGGTCCGCTCTTCTCGAAGAGAAGCCTGGGAACCAGCACGATGTTGTTTTGGTCTGTGCTGAAGCTCATTAGGGTAAAAGTGGATGGAGGTGCTCTCTAAAGTGCTTCCTCATTCCTACCTGATTGAGAGCTTAGAGTGGCCCGCTGAATCTCCATAGAGATGCACATTAACCTGTTGAGCCCGAGGGAGCTGGAGGAGGGAAGGAGCCTGTAACTGGCAATTCGTTAAAACATTTTTATTTGTTCCTCCCTGACGTGGTCTTCTCTCGGGATCTAGAGTGAGCCGGCTTGAGATAGTGTGTAGAAATGCCCTGACCCCTACTGGCCTTCCCGCTCACTGAGTTGGAGCCAGAACACCTAAATACATGGTCACACCATTCTTTCTCACTCATTTGCAGGCACTTCCTCTCACTCTCACCTGCTAAATCTCGCCATTGACATAAGTGCTCCGCGTACGCATGGCAGCTATAATGTTAAAGGGACCTTATCTGTGGTGCTGCCCTGTTACTTGGCAACCATCTGGCTGTTTTGAAGTTCCTTTCCTTCTGATCAGAACTTGAAAACTCTGGTGTATCTTTTTCTCTGTCATTCCCTACTATGTACCATCTCACTATCGCCCTGTCCATTCTCTCAAGGCCATATGGGTTTTTTGTGTTTGTTTGGGACTCGTTCTCCCACCCGTCCCTGCCCTCACCTGTTCCTGGCCTTTGGCTGGACTGTAAATATTTAGCCATGGCTAATGCAGGGCTACAGCAGAGTGCTCCACCTCATCTATCTGTCTCACCCTCCCTCAACGGCTCCCAGCTCTTTTTTTTTTGTTGGATGGCTGGTTTATCAGGGGGAACAGGGGGAGGCTATTATTAAATGCAAACATCCATCTCAGCTCCGGCCGGGTGTAGGACTTTATAGGGTGTTATTTGGAGAGGGGGAGAACGATTCTTATTGGTTTCCATCTGAAATTGGAAAGAAAAGCTTGGTGAGACAGATGAGTGCAATGTACTGTAAAGGCTGGAATGCTCCTGTACAACGTTTAAATCCTAAACAGATTTGAAAACACTAGGGTTGCAGAAGACAACTGGGCATTATACACTAAAGGACTGATGATCACACACTACCAGACTTTGAAGTTATTCCAAACACAACAAACTCACGTAGAAACATGTGCTTTGTTGCTAGGAGATGCATGACAGATGTTTCTGTGAAATGTCAACTCCGACTGCCCAATATCTGCAGGCTGGTTCTGACTTTCAGCAACTAGCGTCGACTCCTCCAGACTGCAAATCGGGGCAAAAGTTGTGCAGTGTATTCCAGCCTTTAAAGGCTGTTCACACAAACAGGCAGTTTTGGAGCTGCTTTTCTTTTGTTTTTGAATGAAAACATACTCTAGCGCTCTAAAAATGCGGGACTCAAGTTATAATAAGTTCAACGATTTAAAATGCATGTCTCAAGACCTTGCATTTTCCTTTTCATTGTCCTGCGTCTTGCGTTTTTAAATGCAAAAACATGTTACAGTGTATCTGTATGATTTCCATTCCATTTTTGAACACGAGTTGATATTGAAGAATGTTTTAACCATTTTTTTTTTTATCCACACACTGAAAGTCAACATTTGGACCCCACTGACTTTCATTATATGGACACAAAACATTGAGACCTTTTTCAGAATAGCTTTTTTGTTTCACAGACGAAAGTCGCACCGGTTTAGAACAACCCGACACAAATAATAGGGGCTTTCAGTTCTAGAAACGTTTGAAGACACTAAATTAGGTCCTACTTCAGAGCAGGGTCTAAAACAGTTCTATAGGAACTATCAGTGACATAAGTGTACACTGATTGGCAAAACGCATTCAAAACACCAGCTACCTGGCATTTTTAAAAACCATGTAAAAAATATTTTCTCCACGAACATGGGAAACAGCGATTAATGGCATTTACCTGTTGTCTGCAGTGTTATGTTCTTCAATGATAACACTGCAAGTTGTCATAGGAGATTTTAGTCAGATTTTCATGCTCATTCATTCGCCTAAATTGTGTTTACATTCCATCTCCGTTATCACGAAACCCATGACACACTACAAAAACAGCTCCGATCACGGCGTCTTCCATTCTCTGGTTATTGACGTTCATAAATGTTGTGAATAAAGACGTCGCTGTCGGCCGCTTCAAAATTCCTGCTGCCGGTGCAAATGCAACCAGGAAAACGGCCCGAGGGAGAAATTGGTTCTCTAGGAACGACCCTGCTGACTAGTTCCTAAAACTGAGTTCCTAGAACTACGTGGCGTGAAAGCCCCTAATGACAGAATTTTCATTTTTGGGTGAACTATCCCTTTAAGCCTGGATTTATTGCTCGGGATGAAACTATGCAGCCGTCCTGTTCATTCGAATAAACATTCATGAGCAAAGCATGCGTTTGCTGCATTAACTGCAGCCATGCGCTGTAACTTATCTTCACTTTCGGCCGGCATGCTTTAGAAACGTCAAGCCCGTCTGTTCGCTTGTGATAGAACATATCTTGAAGCTAGTAACCCAACACAAAACACTTCAAGACATCGATCACTGCTCAAGATACCACATTTAAATTAAAAACATCTGCAACGTCAAAGGCCTAAATATGTTCTGCTGGCGTGCAACAATACCTCGAATAAGTCCCTGCTTTCTTCTCTCCGTCCATAAGGAAAGTGCCGAGGATCCTTATCAGGTTCTGAGCCTCGTCATTAACCTCCCTCTGAACTCACATGGATTTTCTGCTGAGAGAGGAGACAGGGGCTTGACTTGAAATGCTGGATAATCTCATTTGAAATTTCCCCTCTCTTCCTCTGATTTGATAAGGGAGGTTTCAGGAGGAGATGTTAAGTCCTGATCGATCGGGCCCGTTCGATCAGCACCAGATAACAGGATCCTTGTCCTTGCTTTGTTTGGTCGCTCATGTCTAGTAACCTCTAATCAAATGCTCCGTTGGTTGACCTATTCTGAAATGTTAATTATTAACCAGATTACCAGATCAACATGATGATTTAAAGATTAATCTAATCATTAATGAGCCAAGTTAGCTGTTGTTATTCGCAAATCTCCCAAAAGTAAAACCAATTGGGATTAAATGGAATACCGTGACACAGCGATGTCTAAGCTTTCCTTTCTCTATTACATATTTCCTATGTGGAGTTTGAAGCTTGGTACTGTAAATGCTTCACGTGGTACTTCTCCGCCCAACAATGTTTCCTTGTTTCACCAGTGAATGTAGACTGCCGCGAGCCATTCATTCCTTTGTGTGGCAAGGGGGCCTCTCTCGTTCCTGCAACGGGTCAGCCTGGGCCATCAGCTGGGTTTATTTGAGATGGTGGCAGGGGAGGAGGGAGAGAGAAAAGGGAAAAAAATCAATAAAACAACAGCAACAACAAACCGCGTGCATGTCATGAACCGGCACATAAATATGAATGGGCCGCACTCCTCCCCAGCCCCGCCTGAAAAGCCCTCAGTCATTTTTACAGAAGCAATAGTGAGTCGTCAGATTCAGGGAACTGTTTTCTGGGTCACTGGGAGGCCGGTGCAGAGTGCATGTTGAGAGGACTCCGAAATGCTTTGTGCTCGCTCTCAAAGTCTGCTGTGATGAGGGCCTGGTCAGACAGGCCATTCAAAGTCCACAAAGTTCATCTCAGGGGCAGCGGCAAAGATAGATGGATAACCAGTGAAGGTATATTGGAGGACAGAGGTTGCCCTTACAGCTATTAAAACTTTGCGTTTACCACGAGATTACAGGTCATAACCTGCGTTGATTTGTTTCACATCCCCCAGTTGCTATGCCAGATCTCCTGATAAACAAGACAATGTTATTTTTGACTCTGTGGGAATCAAAAGAGACTGTTTGGCCAAGTGATAATCATTGAAAGTGTGCTGTTTTACGTTAATCATTTGCTGTAATTGCTGTCTTTTTGCAGGTTCGTACTCCAGCAGTAGCGATGTAGCCTGCCCATTGCCCAGTGCTGTGTTTGGAGGGTCTCTGTCCGGATCCAACTCCGAGTTACCTGCTCATCAGTCAGTGGTCACTTCCATGCCCACTCTCACATCTTTGCCCCCGACCGTCCCGTTCACCAGCACCTCATCCACACATGTGAGTGTTTAATGGACCTTATTATGTATTCATGCTCAGTGCTCACTCTGTATGTGATTGTTTGATTATTTCAGTTCCCATTTGGTTTGGTTTTGTGGAAATGGGCAAATGAATGACTCCAGGCTAAATTAAATCTGTACGAGGTGTTTTTGTTTTGATTTTGAAAATGTAAAAAACAGTTTAAATTAAGAGATTAATTTGCAAATATGATGCAGTTAAAAAATGTAAGGGTCAGTTTTTTTTTTTTTTTTTTAAAGAAGTTAATACTTTTGTTCACCAAGGTTGCATTAAATTGGTCAAAAGTGACAGTAAAGACATGTAAATATTTGTTTCAAATAAGTGCTATTCATTTTAATTTTCTGTTCATCAAAGAATCCTGAAAAAAACGTATTACTATTTCCACAAAATATTAAGCAGCATAATTGTTTTACACATTGATAATGAAAAAGAATGGTTTTCTTTAGCACTAAATAAGCATATTAGAATGATTTCTGAAGGAACATGTGACACTGAAGACTCGAGTAATGACCTTTGCTATCACAAGAATAAATTATTTGAAATTGTAATAATATTTCAAAATATTACTGTTTTTATTAAATATATGCAGTCTTGGTGAGCATTTAAAAATCTTACCAACACCAAACATTTGAACAGAAGTGTATATCTGCAAAAAGTCCATACCTAGATTTTATTTAAAAAAAGCAACATACATCTGCGAAGAAAGATTGTACTGATAATTGCACAGAGCTTTCAGCTCACACGTATCCTTTATACATCATCTCTCACAAAATTAACCAATTAAATAGAATTATAGTCATCATCTTTGTACTGTGTGCTAATTTGCTCCAGTTTTATCAAGATAAATGCTGTTTGAGCATGTTCATGGCACAAATAGTAATTAACTCCTAAAAGGCTCAGATGTAAACGTTGGCTGCAGCTATTTATGTATTAAGTAACTCGTATTTTTCTTCGTGACAGGATTTTTTCTTTCTACAGAACAAATGAATTTGGTTCGCAAGTGCCAGGGTTTGTGCTAATGCAATATTTATATAATTGCAGCAGTATATTAACAGTATGAAGGAGGCTGTGTTAGGGCCACAATGGTACATAACGTCAGTGTGAGAAGTAAAGTTCGTCACTTCAGACCTCATTTTTCAGCTCTTGAAAGACAGTGTTTTGAGTCATTTAGGGTATTTATGACTAGGCTGCTGAAGTATATGGTCTTAACGGATGAACGTCAGGGTGTTTCGATTGTGTTTGCATTAGCTAGTCAGAGCAGTATGTGTGGTCAAATAAACAGAATGAGACTGTGAGAAAAGTGCCGTAATTGGTTTTATATTGGCTATATTATTATTGCTTTGAGTCAGTAATTTTATATATGTATAGGAGTTTGAAGTTGGTAAGATTTTTTTAAAATGTTTTTGTTTAGAAAATGTTTATGCTCACCAAGGCTGCATTAATTGAATGAAAAATACAGTAAAAACAGCTATAAAGTAGCTATTCTGAAATCATTCTAATATGCTGATTTGGTGCTCAAGAAACATTTAAAGAACAGCATTTATTGGAAATATTAAATGCATAATGTTACAAAAAATTGTGAATAAATACCTTCATGAATCAGTGACTTTAGAATCCCTACTACATGTGTTCAGATGACAATAATAAAGTCAAGTCATTCTTACAGGCTCCCAGCGCAGCTCCAAATGGGCCCTTTGGAAGCGCGCTAGAGACTGAGCACCGTCTCTGCCGCTCTCCTGGGCATCTTTGTCTTGACTTGCGCTGCTGTAGCAACCGGTCGTTTCCAGGCAACAGGGCTTTGTTTGTGCAGATCTGCCCTCTCTGCAGGCAGGGTGGCCTTACATTAGGAGATGAAGTAGACCCACTGATGGCCTTAATGCTGCAGGGCTCCCAGCAGTCCAGCCCCTCCTTACGCACGCTTGCAAATATATATCCCCCATTAGTCCTAAGCTTTATGGTATGGGAGATTTAATACAATGAGCTGTTTTCTTCACTAGGTTGTAATTAGCTGATCAGTAAACAGGTGATGTTTTTAAAACTATGCCCGGGGTCAGGAATAGAATGAATTTTTATTAGATATATAACATGGTGTTTTATCAAATATAATCTGTGCAAACAATCATCCTTTATTCCTTCAGCATGACTGTCCCTGAGGTGTTTGCAAATTTTTTTTCTTCCTCTCCATCCCTAACTCTCCCTTTGTGGATTGAAGAATGGTCGGATGAAAAAATTCAGTGGTTGCAAGCAGGGCAGTAGTGACCTTCGACCCCAGCGCACACCCCCTAGGCCCACCTCTGTCCCACTCTTCGTTAACCTCCACAATGGTGCTGAGAGCCCTAAGCCTCAAACAATCCGGCTGTCCCTCTTTTCCCTGTGCGGGCGCATTGAGCTGAGCTCGCTGACGGGATGAGGGCTGACAGGCTGGACAGAGAGCTGTGTAGTGGGATGAGGGGTTCTCTTCACACTGGTCATGCTCCCTCCTCTCTCCACACGGCCTGAAAGAGGAGTCTGAGGAATGGGGAGGGCCTGGGGGGCCGTGAGGGGCCAGAGGAATGTAGGATATCATTTTTTTTTTTTTAGTAGTAAACCCCC